AACCTATGGACTATTTCTAAAAGGACTTTTGTCAACTACAAGCTCACTTCTGCTGTGTCTGAACCTCAAGAATTGAATTCAAGTCTGTATGGATATTGATCTTTTAACCAACACTCTCTCGTTTTTCTTGTTTAATGAATTTTAGCTTAGTTAATAAGAATTGGCTCTAAGCGTGTATTTTGGATAAGATCTAAGTTATCATTGAACCTGGGTATATGACTGATCTTTTGGGATTGGAAGAACCTTTTCTTTTATATGATGAGAGAAGATTTTCATTAATCATCATCATATCTGACAGGTGTGTCTGGACGGAGGCCTGAGGCTGGGCACTTTAAGGGAACTGCGTTGTTTGGACTCTGAGTAACCAGTGAGGTAATACAGAAGCTGTTTTGTGCTGGTTGGTAAATCTAAGTATTGGAAGATCCACCAGCGTTTGGGGTTTGTCTGCCCCGTTTTGTTTGCACTTCACCCTGATTGAGTGACCTCAGCTGGCTCCCACGGGCAGCACTGTCACCCCCTGTCCTGATTTTTCAAACTTGCTCTCTGGTCACCCTAACCCACTCAGCCCTGCTGTCCCCCAGAGGGCTGCCTGCCTCCTCCCCAGAGTCCCTCAGGTGTGGGGAGTCAGGGATCCCGCCCTTCCGCGATCCACCCAGCCCTGGGTACCTGGTGGTTCCAAATCCTCTCTTCCTTCTCCGTCTTCAGCTTTAGGAGCCCAGCGAGGCTAGACTCCAGCTGGGCTATGGCTGAGGACAGCTCCTCCTACAGGGCAGCAAATAGGCTGGAGGTGAGGGTGGGGGATCACAGGCCAGCGCCCCCCGCTCTAACCCACCAGACCCCACTCTCCGAGAAGCGCACAGAACCCAGGAATCCTGGCTCCCAGCTCCCCCTGCTCTAACCCACTAGATGCCACTCCCCTGGGGCTCCCAGAGCAGGGGAAAGAACCCAGGAGTCCTGGCTCCCAGCCCCCCCGCTCTAACCCACTAGACCCCACTCCCCTCCCCAAGCTGGGGAGAGAAACCAGGAGTCCTGACTCCCAGCCCCCCCAGCTCTAACCACCAGACCCCACTCCCCTCCCAGAGCCGGCGAGAGAACCCAGGAGTCCTGGGGCTCCCAGTCTCACCTTATGCTGCCCAGTGGCCTGCTGGATGGGGAGGAACCGGAGGTTTTCGTATGTGGCTGGTTCCCTGCAGAGCTCACTGGCGAATGCCCCACCCGCCACCCTCCAGGGTTCGCTGTGCTCCTGGCACCTGCCCCCTGGGCGCGCCCCCTCCTCTGCCCCACCACGGCTCAGCCCCCTGGCCTGGTCGATCAGCTTCCTCAGCAGCCTGCAGGGGGCATATCTCCTGTCGGGGCAGGGCTGCCGGCATTCAGGGCAGGCCGGGGGGACACCCAGGGTGCCCCACGTTGTCTCGATGCAGCCCTGGCAGTAGACGTGGCCGCAGGGCAGGGTGACGGGATCCTGCAGCCAGTCCAGGCACACGGGGCAGGAGAATTCCTCGGAGAGAGACCCCAGTTGGGGGGCAGGAGAGGCCATGGGGGGGCAGATCCTGGCTCCCGGCCCCCCTGCTCTAAACAGTAGACCCCACTGCCTCCCTGGGCTGGGGGGAGAAGCAGAAGTTGCTGTGCCTGTGCGCTCTGCAGGGAGGCCCAGGGAAAGGTGCGGCACAGGTTACATTTGCTCTACCCACAACCGAGTTTATCACTCCCAGGGTGTGGGCCTGAGATCTCTGCTCAACACACCCAGCCAGAGAGA